TCACCAAAATATGTGTCTTTCCCTCTGTTACTCTCCAAGAGTGACTGCATCCCTGAGAGATTCTGACCTAGTCCTGAAGCTACTCTGCAGAGACTAAATAATTCTTTCACTCTGCTCAGTCTAAAACTCTAAGCTAGTTTTAAAAAAAACTAGCTTAATTAAATATATATATGCATAAAAATCAAACAGTCTATTTTTGACTCATTGCCCCCTGGGTCCTGGTTACAAGCTGACATGCACTGTTAGGAAGGGAACTGTCTAACCACCTGGAACCCAACAATCATTTCTCCTATTTTTTTTTGCTTTAATCATGTGTGAGAGCAGTTTAACAGATGATATGACACGGTTATGTTGCACCAGCAATCTGCTTACATCTATTCAGAGACACATCTGAGACATTCTATATTATTTAGTCACAATGGGTATTTGCAATGCATATGCAGACAATTTTCTCCCTCCATGTAAGAGTTCTGCATCAAACTTCAACTGAAGGGTAATGCCTTAGGTATTTCAGTGCAAAAGGATCTTCCTCACTCTGCCTCCAGGAACATATTGTAAAGTTCTTAATCTCCCACTTTAAAACTTACCAGTTTTTGACCATTTTGCATATCCCCAGATATTTCCTGGAATTTTCATAACATGGGAATAGTGTGATTAGGATATGTGGCTTTAAATCCTGAGCAATATTTCTGTCCACATAGAATAAGAGAGTCCCAGATGTCTGGCCTTATTCATGTACCCAACTGTCAGAACTGAAGCTCTGGTATTCAAATTCTATATATGTATGTGAGCCTATTAAGATATATTTTAGAGTATAACAAGCTCTATCTGGGTAGGAAGGTTGAGATGCCTTTCTACAGAATCTGTTACCACATGCCAAGGAACGGGAACCAAGTCATTTTTCAACATTTTCTGAAGCACATTCTTAACACAGCGAGTGATTTATGTGAATGGAAAGTAATTTTAAGATGTTCGTAAAATTCAAAATGCTTTAAAGACTTCTTTATTTGGAACAGCCAGCTTGTTTCAACAAGGACACACTGCAGACAAGTACACCTGGATAGGGGAAAAATCCAGTTATCTGGCTATTACCCAGAAGTCTAGACAGTTTTCCTTGCGAGAAATTACTAAGCTTAAAATCTTACCTCGCTCGAACATGTCTTTTTATACAAGCTAAAAACTACAACCTGCAGATCCAATTACCCAAAGCCTGCAATAATCAGCAAAAGGAGTTAACACTGGCATCTAAAGCTCATGTCAAAGCCCCACAGAGGGTTTGGGGTGTTGCAGAGGGCTGGGTTAGGCCTCTATCTTGGCTCTCTGCGAGGTGAGGGAAAAGGGAAGCAGGGAAGATGAATGAAGTGCGTGTGATGACACGCTCTGCATGGATCAGAACGAGCAAGGGAGCAACTGCAGAGCTGTTGGGAGCATGAAAGAGCCATGGGAAGAGGCCATCTGTGCAGTCAAATGGCATGGAATCAGTGGGAAGAGTGGATGTGATAAATCATGGATCTCACGTGGCATTGTCTCAGAATCAACAAGTGACTCGATGTGTGCTCAGGGCTGTGATCCACGTACACATGGCACTGTGGGAGTAGGAACCGTCTTCTCTGATCTTCCCACAGCCTTTATTCACTTGGGACAGAGGAAATCTTGGAGGCCACAGCTTTGCTAGACAACAGAAGAATTGCTTCTGAGCACTAATGAGCAGTCTAACACATTTCACATCATATGGGTAAACAACAATTTGAAGAGAAAAGTCTTTGTTAAAATCCACAGAACAAAAAAAAAAAGTACCCAAGTGCAGACAGATCCTGAAGCAGCCCAAGCTCTGAACACACAATCCATCACGTAAGAGACAGAAGAGGTCAGGCATTAATTAACATCCAAATTAAAGCTTTTCAAGCAAGGGTCAAAACTTCCCTTGTTTTGACATTTAAAGCACTGGCAATGCACTCCCCCGTTCAGTATGCACAACACATCACCTCCTGCTTTATGTTAATTGCCTCCATTTTTCAAGTGCACTATTTGATTCATTGTCAATTAAAAACACCCCCAAAAAGCCAAGAGCGATGTATGTTAAGTATAAACGTGATTAATGTAACACAATTACATTTCCACATTTGATGAGTCTGATTAGGAACTTTCTCTCAGCCCAGCACGACAGAGCCCTGTCACTACCAGTGACCTGCCAGCCTCGCCACAGACAAGCTTCCTGATGGAGAAGCATTTCGTGGCCACAAGTGTTTCTGACAGGTGTAAAACCTGTAATTAAATGCTGTCAATTAGCACTTCATCAAGAATGCAGCAATCTTGATGATCTTCTCTGTTTGATGGCAGAGATGGTCCTAGGTGTAAACACAAAAAAAGCTCTAAGGAAGACAAAAACTGTCACACAATTGCTTGCTAAAATAATAATTATGTGGACAGACCCTCTCCTACTTCCAGAAAACGAGTCTATGGGTCCTCTCCCATTACAGCAAAGGAACATCTGGTTTAAGAAAACTGAATTCAGAGAAAAAAATTGGGCAGGCCAAAAGTAGATGACCAATGCCTGATTGTGTTTGTGATCACAGAAAGCACAAGTTATAAGGGGATAAAGGGGTCTAAGGAGGAAAAAAATAAGGTCAAAATAAGAAAAAAATAAATGAAAAAGAATAGGTAAATGAAATGGACCAAATCTGGAGGTTGCTGTTAAATGAGATGCAAGGGTACATAAATAAATAAGAATTAAAAAGCCAGTTCAGCCTGACTACAATGAGAGAAAAACTAATAGCAACTAAATGCCAGTGAAACTAATTGGAAGGGGGATATGCACACACAACTGGACTTTTTATGGCCAGCTCACAGGCTTTGATAAGAATTGCTACAAATCAGAACAAGAAATAAGAGAAAAGTCTGTATCCTCAGTCTGGGCATCTCTTCCTTCTTCTCACCAGTAAATGTAAAATATAATTAACATTGCCATATGTAGAAGTAATAAATACATAAGAAGCATCCATAACCTATATTTAATTACGAGGGAGATGCCAGTAATGAAATGTACAGTAGGTCCTTGTTTAAATTGAAAAAGAAAAAAAAAAAGAAAAAAACTGTTATATTGCACTTCAGAAAAGACTTAAGAGCTCCTTGGCTTATTGAGGACTACAAAAACAATCACTGCTATGGGCCTGCTTTGCATATTTGCTCTATTAATTTACACAGCCCCGGTAAGCCTCACATTGCAATGCAACCACTGAATTACCCCACTCTCGGGTAATGGGGATAAAAAGATGCAAGAGCATGCAAAGTGTATTCAGACAGACAATTAAAATTATCAATTCTGTTGACAGCTAAAATGAAGAAACTGTGCTGAGGTTTGATGCTGCTGCATGAAGGACACAGGGCTTGCGAGTGATTGAATTAACGGCGATCACGTGCTGACGGGCTGCCTTTGTCAAACATCGCACATTAGGCCAATTTAGTGTCTGCTTATTAAAATAATCTAATTCCAAAGATTGTTTCCAGGCATTTCTGAATCTCCTCCTGCTCTTCCCTCCTCCTCACATTACCAATGGCATCTTAATTATTGTGCTCGGTTTATGCCGGTGAAAGTTGCTGGGTCACCACAGAACAGTCCAGTCAATTTGGCTGAACCAACTCATCCTTCAGGTGATCCTTTCCCAGTCAGCAGGAGATCTGGACAGACACACTACAGCCTGAAGCAGACAAAGTATACAACAAAGGCCATTTTTATTCAATTTAACACTAGTTTATCAATATTCCTTTTTTTTACATAGGTCTTTAACCCTGCGTGCTTATTAAATCTACTATGCTTCTTATATTGTAAGATTTTGACTTTTAATCATGTAGGAATGTGTTTGGCAACTCTTCAAAAATTAGAATTCCAAAGACAACAAAATTGCCCAAAGAAATTAGAAGTTTGAAATCTCTTTCCTAAACTGAAGAAGCATCTCACATGTCTGAGCAGTATTGCTATTCATGATCTAAATCTCCTGTGGAAAAGCAACTCAGACTGAACAACATGGAAATGCTGAGACTAAAAAATGCCATCCTAAAGGTTTATTTTACCACCTGTTAGAGGTTGAATAACTTAAGCTTAAGGGAGTCGTTTAAATAGACTTTGGCAACTAATTGTGACGCTCCATTTTGAAAAGTTAGTGCTATTTTAAAGTGAATGCACACAGATTAATTACACCTTCATCCAAACGAGCCTAACAGTGAAAATACATCAAGATGTAGTAGCAATATGTGGAGAGAAGTGAAAATGGCAGCCTTTAAGTCTTTAAAGGCATGTGGATGTCCCACTGGATAAGGCACTGCCTTGGTTTGACAGTGTTGAAGTCCCAAAGCTCCAGGATGGAATGAACAGGTTGTGACACTGAAGTGTTGGAATGAACCAACACCAGTTAAAGCTCCTCAGTTGAATGCTTTGAGTGCCTTGTGCCAGACTGGATTTTATGTTGTGGCACCTGGTCAGGGGAATATTGCTGAATATCCCAGCTGTGTGACACACACAGTAACATTCTGCAATCACTGATGATCCCAAGCTCCATCAAGCCTCCTCTGAATTTCATGTAAAGACTTGGACTTGCACCAGATATGAATGAAACTTTTAAGGTACAAAGTTCTAAACCTGAGTTGCAGAGATTATTTAATAGTGAAATGTGGATAGGCAAGTCCTGATTTTCAAGCTCATAGGTAAGACCATAAAAAAAAAATAAGAGTAAATTTGTTTTTTAAAAAGTTACGTATTCTAAGTTTTCACAATATTCATATAGTCCTAATTATTATATATCATATTTTGTCATCTCTAATACATGGAACAGAGTAAAGTCTGTAGAGATACAGGATTCATGCAGGGGAACTCAGACAGAATCATGGCAGTATTCAAAATCCTAAGCACAAAAAAAAAAAGCTCTCTGATAAATGGCAGGAATCAAATGCATACATAAACAATTCTGATTTTTGCACAATAGTAATATAGGAAAATAACGTACGGTTCAGAACCAGCCGGTCCTCTGTGAATTCAAATGGCTTCTCAATATGAAAAACCTTCTGCTGGAATCCAGGGACACATTCTAAATCTTCTGCCCATGCAAGCAGCAGAATCTGAGGGGGGAAAAAAAAAAACAGAAATAGACTTTGAGCATCCATTCCTTCATCCATCATGTTGGCTTCTGGGAACGATACCGGGCCTGGGCTCAGTGCTCATAAAACAAAACATTGGGCTTCATACTCATAAACCAAAATATCCATCACATCACACTTCCCTTTCAAATCTTGCTAAACAATTTTTTACGTAAGGTTTTTGCTTTTATAGATGTGGGCTGGCATGGAAGTTACAAAATAGGAGCTTTCAAGGTGAAGTTCAGTTCAGAATATCAATAAAGAATATTATTGATCTTCCTGAACGATTTAATGTTGCTCCTAAAAATCACATGTATTGAGCTTAGCTGAATAGAGCTGGACTTAAATATATGCTTAAATTAAGCATATGTAATTTGAATAAGAGATAAATTAGGACCTCCAAACCTGTTTCAGAAAGTTGATCACTAAGTTACAGAATAAATTCTTTATTTAAGGGTAAAGTTTCACCTACAGAAGTTTTATTTGTAAAAGAACTTCTTTGCTAATAAATATAAACTCTTGCTTTTCTCTTCTTTCCCTCCAAGCCACAGTTTGTCCATTTTCCCTATAATCAAAAGCTTGTTTACACCAAGGGAAGACTGAAAAAGAAACGTGTGCATCATAGTGGATCTGAAGGTTAAAGCTGAATACAGTTTGTGAAACTGTTAGTATATGGTCACCAAAGTTCTCTGTCACCACAGGAACACCCTGACAAAGGAGGAAGCTTAAAAGCAAAATAAAATTGCTTGGAAATAGGTACAGTATTAATCTCAGTCTCTGAAGCATTTTACTTCTGAGGAGAGAAAACAACCTGAAGCATTATTTTTTTCTTGGCAGCTGTTACACGAAAGCATGGAGGTAAGAATGCCCAAGGAAGAAGAAGCAAGAAAAAAATTACTGCAAAGTTTAAAAGGTTAAAGAGAGAGGCAAAAGGAGGTGAGTTTAAGAGTAGGCAAAGCCAAATCATATTTTCCAACCTCAATATGTGTAACTACATTTTCAGAGGCACTTTCTGCTTCAGAACCTCCGAAGGTGTTTTTTGAAACCTGACTTTCAGGTGGGGTACTAATGATCTCAAGTCACTCTGGCCAATCTCCTGCTTGCTGGGCAGTCCAAGCCAAATCAAGCAGAGAGGGTGCACACAGAAACCAAGAAGGAAACAGTTGAACATGGGGGTTCTGAGTGACACTCGCTCTTACATTCAGGTGGCCCTGCACAAATGGGTCTGTTTACTCAGGGCGCCCTCAACACACAATGGAAGTTTTGCAAATCAAACTGTGAAGACAATTTCTCCCCAGTCCCACACTGGTGAATGCTGAAGGCTCCTTTCTGCTTCAAGTGACAAACTGCACTCTCCCTTCTCCAGCAGCATCACTCAGTCCTGCTTCTACTCCATTATCACCTACATCTGCTGACCTTGATCCTGATCCTACAATGATGTCCTGTGAAATTTTAACATCTGCACGTTCCCCTCTTCACCACCACTCACAGTCCATTTGCTAACTCAGTGATACATTGGCTGCTCCCTCCTTTCATGCACTTCACACTCACTGTAAGTTCTGGGGGATCCCATTTATAAAAGCCAAAGGCAGCAATATTCCACCTGCTCTGCATTAGTTTTCTTATGGAAACCAACTGCTGGAGCATTTGTTTCATGTCACTGACATTGGCTATAAAAGCTTGGCTCGAAGTGCCAGCAGACTGCAAGAAAAAAGGCAGAATGTTTCATGGCAATTAAGCTGGTGGAAGACAAATGCAGCAGATGGACACCTTTGTCTTCCATGGCCTGCTCTATGTTTGTCCCTTGGAAGAATTAACCAAGAAAGGAGAGAGACTTAAGCACACCAAGCAAGGTGCAACACACTTGTCTGCTATTCCCTTCTGTGTGCTCTCACTGCTGCTGCCCTTCTAAAAAGGTTTAAAAACACAGCACCTGATCCCTCAGTCACTTATTGACATTGACATACTGATTGTATTGAAGATTTTGGACTCTGTAGGGGTTGAGAATTGAACACGTCCCCTTCAGTCTTCCCATATGAGATGTTTGCAAACATGAACTGACATATTTCGAGCCTGCCCAGAAAATTGTTTGTGAAACTTGATTACTGATTGTTAAAAACCCCCAGCCTTATATGCATTTAAATGGGCACATGCACAGGAAGAAAGACCCACACGCACTTTCTGCACACATCTTCAGTGTGCACAGGTGCAGTTTTAAAGTACCTGTCCTTCTGACTCAGAGTGCTCCTGAATGAATATGCATCAAAGTGCAATCACAGCAGAAGGAAAACTCTTCCAATCTCAAGATGCAAAGCAACAACTGAAGCAAAGTTTCATAATGAGTCCACACCAGAAAAATAGTCCAAGCCATATATGCTGAAATTTCTCTCCAAACAGCTCTTCCCCTAAAGGATTAACACAGTGAGCAAGAGGAGAAATCGTGTTCTGATCTCCCAGCTACTGGAGTCTTAAAGCTGAAACTCTTGTCTTACAGAGCTATAAATAAAAAGCCTCTTTGGACATCATCTCTGTCAGTACTTAGAGAAGGGAATATGTGTACTTTATCAGATTTGTGACAGGATAAGTTGACTTTGAAATCTGGGCAATCTAAATGGGTCATGAGTTAACTTCTGTAAGCCTGGTACAGAAGCCTCACATAATACACATGCAGCAAATAGAAAATGACCTTTACTCCCTTTGAAATAATTACAAGACTCAGGCTCGGCCTTGCTGTGAAACAGAACATTTTATTCCACTTGTGCAATTCCAGGCACTTTCTTCTTCTCAACATGTCAGACAAAATGTTAAATTTGTCATCACATGGAGAGTTTTTAATTAATTACCGTTGAAAACGACAATTATTCTTTTAATTTATTTTTCCCATGAAGTAACTTCTGTTGAACTAAATGTCTATCTCATTAAAATAATTCCTGTTAAAGTTCTTCACGCTGGGGAAAAAAAGTCTTCAAAAATATCTTGAAAAAAGTAAGCCAAGCAGATATATGTTGAAGGCAAAGAGACTTGTTCAAAGCAGAATACATTGGAATTTAAGCACCGTGTAGTTTTTGTATTTTTGGATATCATAAAAGGGTTTATGGGCTGATAGCTGTCTAAAGGAAAACTTCAGCTAAATTCAGTGAAAATAATATTTAAATGTCACATGTAGATCTCAGAATATATAAATACTGTTCACACATCTAGTCGAGTAAGTGTTGGGCAATTAGTACAAAAGGATCCTTCACCTGCTACAAAGAAAAAAAGCCAAATTCTTGAACAAAAATACCAATTATGCAGCAAACAAACTGCTCATGAAAATCTAAAGGGTTAGAAATCTGAAAAGCAAACCAGACAGTTGTGACCACTCAGACCTACAGATCCTGTGTTCGCTGACAAGGAAAATCAAAGTTTTTCATAACCTGCTGCTTTGCAGAAACCTACGGAGCAAGGACTCAGTTTTAATATCCTGACAATTTGTCTTTCTGAATTTATTGCCAGTCAACTCTAAGGAAATGTCACTAGTTCAGATAACTCCTGTCCTAGTTTGGCCACGGAGAGAGAACTGTACTCCTGATGAGGTACCAAGCTAAGAAACACCTTTTTTTTTAGTTAATAAAACAGCACACGCCTGCTGGTGGACCTTTAGTGACCTCCCCATTTGCACTGAAAGCTGCTCACACAGAATATGGTTGGAAAGCAAAAAAAGGACAGCAATTTTATACCACACTGCAGAGGAAATTAATAAAGTCCCTGATGTTAAAGTACCTCTGGGTATCACGACGTGTCAAAACCCAGGGTTCTTCTGCCTCCTCTGCTGGTGACAAAGGCAGTCTCTGAAACAACCTTTCAAAGAATTTCAGAATGTTTATGTCCTTTTCGACTTGCACAGTTTCAGGTTGGACTGGCCACGTCCTCGCCCTGAAAATGAATTTTCTCACCTTTTACTGTAAACACTCTCGTATCTTCATCAGCCCTACCTGCAGGAGATCACCTATCACAAAAACACATGCTTCAGAATATTAATTGCATTTCACACACATTCTTAGGGTGTGAAATTCATCCTGGTGCAAGGCTTTATTTAATTAGAGATGTAGATGGTGCAGACACCTGGGAAAGCCATCTGCCCAGACAGGAATTTTACACACAGTAAATGCAAACAAATCTCATTTCGTAGGGCAATATTCTGTAGGATCACAATCTGCCTTTGGCTTCAGGAGAGTAATCTGAAATGAAAACAAACCAACAGAAACCGGCACAAAGGAAGAGCTAAAACAGAAATCACACTCGTTTTTAATAAGAGTAATAACCTCAAAAGTTCAAAAATTATGAATCACTTCCTAAGAAATTAGGTTTTTAGTTGTGATTTTTTGTTTTGTTTGGAGTTGTAGGTAGGGCAGGTTTTTTTGAAGTGTGATTTTTGGGGGTTCTTTTTTATTCATGCGACTCATTTTACTTGGAAGCGGGTATTGAAAATTCATGCTTCCGAGTTTTTCTCTGGAAACACGAGAACCAGAAATTTGGGGTTTTGCATATGAAAACTTCAGATTTTCATATAAAATACGGTGATCCTTGAAGCTGAGAACAGCAGAGAGAGAAAAGCAATCAGAATAATGAGAACTGCCAACACTGAATTAAATTGCACGTGGCAAAACATTTTTATCATGCAGATCAAGATCTTTTAATCTTAAAATCATCTCCATCTTCAGGTGCTGCAACATTAGACCCTCCCAAAAATGGATAGGGAGGAAGCCATCAAAGAAAAACAAGTGATGAGCATCACAGGCACAGATATGATGAAATCAGTAAGAACTATGAATTGATTTTAGGTTTTTACTCTAGATTTAAGTGAGGAAGTCATTTAAATGAAGTTAACAGAGGGAGATTTAAGCAGAATAAAGAGAGCACTGCTCTAAGGAAGGTTCTAATTCTGCATTATGTTGGCTTCAATTAGAGTGTCAGCAGGTCCTAAGGCAATTGTTTCATCA